CTATTTCCAGTTTCCAGGAAAGGACCGAGAAGATTTGGTTATGGTTCCTCTTATTCCGGATACTGCCAAGGACAAATTGACTGGAGATAGCGGCAAGGCCTCGACCAAGTCAATATTTGTCGATAAAGCTAGAGCTAACATGAATGATGCAATGAAGAAAGTTGATGAGGCAGCTAGATTTGGCTCACAAACAAGCGCCATTATTACTTTTATTATCTGAATATATCGCATGTGAGGAAGATTCAAAAGTCCCAGCGGATATGTTAGCAGCAGCCTCAGATGTCTGGACGAAATACTCTGTTTTTCCTTAGATCAGTTTACGAGACTCTCTTTTGTCCGCCAAATCATGTAGGACTAACGTGATGGAGGCACTTAACATACCACATGAAGGTGCTAAGAAGAAGTTAGAAGACCTTCCTCTTATGGGCAAAGACCCTTTCAGAGGCGAATTCCAGGAATTTCTGGAAGTTGAAGCCAAACGAATTGAAACAGCGGACAAACTGAGCTTGAAGAAGCCATCAGCTACTAACAAGCCCAAGTTCTCGGGGAAGAAGGCAACTTGAGGTGCTCCCTCGTTTCATCCTGCCCTAAGAAAACCATTCAAGCCCTTTCGTCAACAGACGGCCAAGGCATCAGCTGGTGCAGTGGTTTTAGGTCCACGCCCCTACTCTGCCCCTGTGTGCCAGAATGTACAAACTAGCAGCCGGGGACGTGGCGGCGGGCCATATGCCCCCCGCCTCGGGTGGTGGTGGTGACGCCCCCATCGAGTTGACCCCACACTGGGGCCCATCGGGGGTTGTCTCAGAAATTTCGTAGGGCCCTGGAGAGAGATCACCTCTGAGGCATGTGTGCTTTTCATAGTCAACCAAGGCTATCAAATAGAATTTACAAGCACCGCTCCGTTTGAAACGTGTGTTCGCAAAACACTGGTTCCGACAAACATGGACAAACGACTAGCTCTCGATTGGTGCCACCAATGGAGCAGTTCACAGACTTCCTATCCTCCTTCTTTCTGACACCAAAGAAGGAGGCTGGAAAATGGCAGCCGATCATCAATCTGAAACCGCTCAACAAGTTTGTCAGACCCAAGTGTGTCCGAATGGAAACTCAATATTGTTCTAGAATCATTACCAAAACCAGCGTGGGGAACGTCATTAGACCTAAAAGATGCATATCTACATGTTCCCATCTTCCAAGCGCACTCCCGATTCCTACGTTTCCAGTAGTCTATCGACCTCGCCAAGAGTGTTTACCAGGGTTGTGCGGGCAGTTGCATCATGTTCCAGCTCGAGAACATGATGATTTTTTTGTCTCTCGACGACTGGCTGATAGTGGAAACATTTGAGGGACACTATACGTCGACAAAGACGCTAGGCTATATCATTAACGAGAAGAAGTCCCAACTAATCCCGTCCCGGGAAATCACCTCCTGGAAGCAGAGATCAATCTATGCAGGGACATAGCCGTATTACCAGCCTGCGGAAATGCATCAAACTTTTTCTATCCGCTCCAGTGGGAGCTTGGCTGAAACATCTGGGGTTCAAGGCCAGCTTAGTTGACCTGGTCCCATGGTGCAGACTGAGGATGCGTCTTTCTGGCAAATTACAGACCCAAGACAGGTCCAATCTCTCTATTGGTCCTGATCGACGAAGTCATTCATCTACACCTTCGGAGGTGGCTAATGGAACAGACCATTTGGTGCGGGTGGAATTTCCCCAGAGGGGATCCACATTTCATAATCTCTACTGACACTTCCAATGAGGGCTATGCCTTCCCTCCAATCTCGATCCTTACAAAGGTCAGAGGAAACTGGAGAGAGACAGGTGCATGATCCTACTGATCACCCATCTCTGGCTGCGGCAGCCCTGGTTTCCACGACTGGTGAGGCTCCTAGTGGGCTCCCATCTAATTCTCCCAGATTGTCACGACCTACTCCTTCAGCCTCAGTCCCTGTTCCGACACCAGGCTCCGGGAGATCTCCACCTAGCGTGCTGGCCACTGTCAAGCGCGCTTTCCAATCAGCAGGTCTTTCTGAAGACGCTGCAGCCATGGCCGCAAAGAGACGTCATCTCTCAACACAACGAATCGTATGACAGGCAACTACGGCATTATAGTAGGTGGTGCAAAGAACGGGCTGTGGATTAACTCTGTGCTTCTTTAAACCATTGTTCGGAATTCTTGCTGTCATTGTTCAGAGCCAATTTGTCAGTAGGAATGGTGCAAAATTATTGGCATGCACTAAACCACTCAGGGGTGATTGCATGCAGCTTTTTATTATAACAATGCAGCTGCATGGCCCCGCCTCAAGGGACACCATTGCGCATTGTATAGTCTCAGCAATCAAATTCGCTAACTCGGACTGGCCGTCCAAAAGGGACACTTCTGTCCAAGGCCTTGTCTGGGCCCATGACGTATGCGCCGTAGTGACATCCTGGGCATTTTTTAGGGGGTCCCTTTATCACAAATTTCACATGCAGCATGCTGGAAGTCGGCCTCAACATTCACATCTTGTTACCTACGTAACGTACTCCAGACTGGAGGTAACACAGGGAAGACGATACTGACATCTCACCAGTCCTCGTCTAAGAACCCTACCCTGTACAGTAGTCCTTCCTGGCCTAGCCAGGAGAACAACTAAGCAGGTAATACAGTTATATTCAATCTAAATGGTTTAAATCGTGATGTATATATATACTATTGATTAACCGTTTATTGTTTTAAGGGCGTCTCGCCTACCCGGCCGCGAATTTTTTTTCTCCCAAACGACATCCACATATGGGTGTACGCTATGGCGTTTTGGACTTAACTTTTATAAAAACATGAGAAGAAAATATAAAATTAGAAAAAAAAAAGTGAATTTGAACATTATGAAATTCGGACTTTATTTCCCTTTAAAAAAAAAGGGGGAAAAAATGGGTGCAAAACAAAGATTTGAACCCTCAACCTCGCGGTGCAAAATCCTACTCTCTATGGACTGAGCTATAGCACTGCTCGACAAACATGGGGAAACAAATAATTGTATACCTGCGTGCGTATCAAAAAAGTATCGTAGAGGGCGCTAAACAACCATGTATGCGGATGTCGTACCACCAGTTGTCGGTGCCACTCTATGATATGTAGTAGCTATTTGGGTAAGTGAATGAAGTAGACTTTCCTCCCCCCCCCCCCCCCCCTCAACAGAAAGTGTGGGACGAGTCTACGAGTGATACTTGCCCAAATAGCTTCCTGCCCTCCTCCCCACCATTGGCTTGCATTACGATGGTTTGTCACCTTAGGGCACGAGAAAAAAAGAGATAATGTAATGGCGGATTCATGACGTAGCATAATGGGTGGGCCCCGAGAGAGTGCTCGTTAAATCTTTTTATTGTTAGAATAAATATGCATATGTAGTAGCTATTTGGGTAAGTATCACTCGTAGACTCATCCCACACTTCTGTGGTGGGGGGGGGGACTCCAATCTTTACAAATCTTTGTGCAGTGTTTTTCCATTTTTAATAGCATAAGTGTGAAGTAAAAAATGAGGAAATCAGCTGATCCTAGGAAAAGTTGCATGCCTGATCATATTATACTGAAGGTGTGCCTGCTGAAATGTCAATGTCATATGACCCTTGCTTCCCTTCCCTTGTAAACTGATTTTCTGAAGAAAGAAAACACAGGTGACCTCAGTTTCATGTTTTTTTGGCTGTATTTTTGTTGTATTATTAGCTGTTTTGGTGTACACACCGAAACAGCTCTTGTTTTTGTTATTTTTTTTTTCTCTCTTTTGTTTTTTTTTTCTTCCAATTTTTTCCCCATAAGATAACACGTGTTTTCGTTCTACACGGCACTTTTGGACTTTTTTCAAATCCGATTGACTTCAAACCTGGCACACACTTAGAACACCATCTGAAGATGTATGCCGAATCATGACTTCATCACGTGTCACGTGACGTCATCCAAAATGTGCATTCTTTAAGGTCCTATATCTACAGAACCAAACGTCCGATTTTGGTTTAAACTCGGTATGCAGGAATTCCGGGACGTGTTATAGACAAAAACTGCAGTGACGTCACGATGACGTCATCATATGATTTTATATAAATTGTTCCATTTTTGGACCTTTTACTCATATCTCATAAACAGAATGTGTTAAATTTGAAATTCTTTTTGTAACAGGTTCGTTAGGTCATAGATAGATGCGCAAAATTTCGTAAAATGTATGACGTCATCATGACGTCATCAAAAAGTGAATTTTTGATTGACATAAGGGTATGTCCGATCGTTATGAAACTTGGTGGGTAGGTAGGTATAGATGACAGCATTCAAAATCTGAAGTGACGTCATCATGACGTCCTCATCTGATTTTTTATGAATTTTTCAAATGTTAATATTTTCTTCAAATTTTGCAAAAATTATATAAAATACGGTCCGATCTACTTCAAACCTGGCACACACTTAGACCACCATCTGAAGATTCAGGTCGAATCATGAAGGCATCATGACGTCATCACGTGTCACTTGACATCATCCTAAAACTGCATAGTTGAAGTCACTATATCTAGAGAACCTGAGGTCCGATTGCGTTCAATCTTGGCATGCAGTTATTCCAGGAAGTGTTATAGACAAAAATTGCAGTGACGTCACGATAACGTCATCATGTGATTTTATATGAATTATTCATTTTTTTGACTTTTTACTCATATCTCATCAATGGAACGTGGTTAATTCGAAATCCTTTTTTGCAAAAGGTTTGTTAGGTCGTAGATAGATACAGAAAATTTTTTAAAATGTGTGCCGTCATCATGACGTCATGAAAAATGTTGTGTTTTTTTACATAGGATGAACACTTTTTGTACAGAATACGCATGTACATGTTCATTCGACCTGGATGAAACTCCTTTACGGCAGTCATTAATAAAATGGTCGAAACAGCTCAGTGTTTGTCCACAAACACATTTCTAGTTTTAATTTGTTATGTTTACTTGTCTTTGTTTCATTAGTTTTCTTTTTAATTTTTGCAGTTTGGACAAACTGCTCTGTCTTTGGCAGCCATGTTAGGGAAAGCAGATGCAGTTCAAACGTTACTCAGATATGATGCACACCCTGGAATTGGAGATATTCATGGTATGCTGCCACTCCACCATGCTTGCCTTCGAGGACACGTTCTGTGCGTGCAAATGATTGTCAACGTCTCAAAAGGGCTCACAGTGAGTAAATTATTTAAAAGTCATTCTTTAACAATTAAGTTACATATGCAATTCATTTAGTAAATAAGTTAACAGCTGCACACAAACCTTAGGGTCGAGGAAATATGTAGCCATAGTGGTTGGTTGGGTCAAGGTTAGGCTACCATTTTCACATAAACCCCTCATAAAGGAGAGGAAGATGTGAAACAAAGAAAAGCCTCAAAACAATGTCTCATTCTTTTCCTATATTCAAGATAATTGATCTTTTATCAGAATTATAGTGCAATGAAAACTTGATTTTCTTATTACAGTTCAAACGAGATAGATTCAAACGAGATAAATTCAGCCAACATAAGTGTAAAGGGAATAAAGTGTAAAGGGAATATACAACATTTGCAAACATCTAAAAAAAACACAAGACCACCAAATTATCACAAACAAACCTCACTGGACTGTCAGTGAATGACAGTCTCAAGCATCCTGGCAAATCATGGCACCTGGTGTGCTGACATTTTCAAGAAAAGTTGAACGCCGACCAGTGTTGGGAAAAAATATTGGCTTTTTTCAAATGCTGCTCCAAAATATCATACTTAGTTAGTTCACATTTTCTTTGCAATCGATTACACGCCTGTGAACAGGTACAAGCCAGCTAGACTGATTCCCTGACCTTGCAATCCCCCGACATCTGTACAAGCTCTGTTTCATCTTAAGTGGGGTCGGGGAACCAGACTACAAGAACTTGATATTCTAGGTTTTTCCAATTTCTTCAAACCCAAAACGTCAAAAAAGTCAGCGGAACAATATTTGCTTTAAAATACTAACCCCCCAGATCCATCCATTTCTGAAAATTACAGCAAAGGCAAATGTTGTATATTCTCTTTAAGGTTACTTTACCTCAACTTTTATTACCTTAATCATTCAACTTGATTCATCACTATCTAGCTACTTTAAATTGTCTTTATAATAATTTACATCTTTGATATATTACCTTGATTATTTATTTTTGCTGGTACGTCCCAGAAGTCCAGCCTAGTGTCATCTTTATACCTATCTCACTGACAGAATTACTGACTGACTGTCCACTTGTTACTTGGACTGGTTGTAGGCTGGAGAAGAGAGTGGAGCAGTGCTATCAAATAGGGTTACCCCTGTAACACCAACGAATCAGCCAAATGCAGCCCAATGTGTTACCAGAAATATATTTTTGTGCACCCTTACAAGGCTTTACTAGGCTTGAAGATTTACATGTACTATGCTTTTTGTATGAAATTTTAAGTGTATTTTTTAATTGAGCTGAACAAAGTTCTGCTTTTCTGTTTTGTTTTGATGTACATGTGATGTATTTGGAGCACAAGAAAACAGTGTGTATCATTGAGCATAGTGTGAGACTAGAAAATAATACACAGCATTTTGACACAAGATGGTAAACACATTTGTGTAAGGTAACCAAAAAAATACTATCACTACAGTAAAGCACTATGAGTTTTCTCTTCACCCAGTTCTCTTTATGTTAATGATCTCCTGTGCTGCTGATTTATATTATCTTCTACCTTGCCGATCATGACACAACTATTCACCTGTTGCAATATTGTTTGGGTAAGAACCGGCACTTCTTTGCTCTCTCATTACTATTCATAAAGAGCTGTTCATGCACATCATCTCATCCTCGTAGTCACTCTGCACCAGTATTTTCCAAATTACAAACACTGACACTCAGTCGTTATCATCATTGCTCATTCACAACGGGCAGTGTTTAATGGCAGAAGTCCAGTAGCGTATCCAGCTTTCGATGTCAAGGGTGGGGGGGGGGGGGGGCAACCACACAACCGCACATTCCAAATGGGGGCGCTCTTCAAAAATGACCACATTATTATGCATACTGGAAATTATATATCCTGACTGGAAATTATATATCCATTTTCCCTCTTTTTGGGGGAGGTTTCATTTTTGGGATTGACGTCTAAACTCTGTAACCATTTATTTAAATAACTGCTAAACAAAAATTGACAAAATCCACCAGGGGGGACAGACTGCCCCCTCTGCCCCCCCCCCCCCCCCCCCCCATTGGATACGCCACTGCAGAAGTCATTCAAGATAGCAGCACCCATGCCATCGCCATTTGGGCAATTGTTAGTCTCTATATACAGAATGGATAGCCTATCGAGAACACAGAGGAAATCTAAACAAGTTGTGAGGCAAACTTTGATTCTATATTGGGCTGTTGTGATACTGTAGGGGGCCTACTTGTAGAACATTTGCAGCTGCTATGGAAGGCTGTGCTGAACAGTATCTAAAGTTAGTGTCCACAAACATTTCATCTAATCAGTGGCTGTCTTTTAATGTCCATATTTAATGGGTGGGTAGATGGGTAGATTAAGGTAGGTCTTTATTAAATCCAAAATTGGAAATAACATTTTGTCATTTCTCATTAGAAAACAAACATTGCACAACATCAAAGACATTACAATTACAAACTATAAACAAATAATCAATTTAGAGAGAAAACTGGCTAACCACTGTCAAAAAAACTCCCCAAGTAAAATCACTAGGTAATAATCTTGTAAATGCATCAATTAGGACATTTGATGGCGAAGCCAGTGAAAAATGAAGGAGATCGGTTTGTGTGTGCAACCACTGGGGGGGGGGGGGGCCACATCGTTGGGACATTTGCTTTGAGAACTAATGCAAGCATGGGGATCAGGGCCCGCCTAATAAGGGCCCAGGAAATTTTGGATTCTAAATGTTCTGTGGTGTAATCTGATGCAATTCCTGGGGAGGGGGAGGCGCACGCCCCCCCTAAAAAGTTTGTGCCCCCCACTGGAAATTCGGCATCCGGAGAAAGCACAGCTGTATGAGTTACCGTGATTAGCTGGAAGAACATAAAGTCCCTCTTTCTGCGAATTTGTGCATAGTATCCACCTAAAGTATTTCTTTTCACGAGTGGCTGTTTTATTTAATGTCGGTGGAAAGCGAATAGTGGTGTCCAGGCCCCCCCCCCCACACTATTTGATTTTAGGGAGGTCAGGTGTATACCGGTGGGAAAAAAAACATGTCTACCTTTCAGCACAGATGACATTTTTGGGCACCTCCCCCCCCCCCCCCCACCCCCACATGCCCCCCTAGCATGAGAACCCCATGGCTACCACTGGGTATCATAATTGTTAGGATTGGTGGTTAAACAAGGGCTCAGTGGGATAAACAGTTATCGTTTCAGGCGCATGGGTGTAAGTTTGGTCGTAATATTACAAGAAAAAGGAATAGAAATACAGTAAGTAAGTAACAAATTATAACCTTTCTGCAACGGCAAGTTACCTAAATGTGATACAGGACGAAGACATAGGAAAATGCGTCCATTTCCGACACCTTGGCGATCATATCCCTATTTCACCACAAACAATTTGGCAACAAAAATGCTTAGAAATGGTCTAGGATAAATGATCAATCAGGAAACAGATCTTAATCATCATATTAATGTGCTAAAACTACATTATTAGAACAAATAAGCCACTAAACTCACCATCCGATCCAACCCTGCAACACTTCAAAGGCATGGTCGGCTCACTGAGTGGTCTCTTTCTTGAGGCTGTGCTTCACGCTGAGCACTGTTGCAACATTCCAATAGACATTCAAAAACATTTTGGGAACAGCTCTGTGGTTGTTCAGTTACAGCAACAATCTCTTTTTCTTTTTTCTTAGTTCATTAGGCTGAGGATTCTGACATTTTTTTGATATAAGTACTAATAATTAGATTTATGTTTGTGGACAAACACTGTTCCGGTAGCTTTTTGTGACATGTGACATGTAAACTTTCAAGTATAAGGAAGGATGTGTAGTTCTGTTTGTAATAAATGGTGGCATATAATAGGTGATTCCATTCTCATAGGGCTTTGAATGGTGATGTCACGTGATTACGTCTTGATGATGTTAAATCAATTTTCATCTATAACACATCACGGTCTAGGTATACACCAACATTCAACATAATCAAACATGTAGTTCTGTAGATATTGGCCGTCAAAATATGCACTTTTAATATGAGGTCACATGTCACGTGATGACGTCATCCTGACGTCACTTGAATATTCATCTTTATCACATCCCGGTCTAGGTACATACCAAGTTTTAACCTAATCAGACCTGTAGTTTTGTAGATATTGGCCTTAAAAATATGCAATTTTAATGTGATGTCACATGTCACATGAGGTCATCGTGACGTCACTGAAGTTTTCATCTATAACATATCCCAGTTTAGGTACATACCAAGTTTCAACCCAATCAGACCTGTAGTTATGGAGATAAAGGCCTTCAATATATGCATCTATATTGTGATGTCACAGGTCACGTGATGACGTCGATGTTCGGCACACATCCCAAAGTGCCCAAAGTGCCTTCCACGATGAAAATGTGTACAAATGCTATGGGGAATGGCTGAAAAAGAAGAAAAAAAATAGAGATCTTTGTCTGTTTCAAAAAAGAACATAGGGCTTTTCCACTTATTTTATTTTATATGACTTTATGCTTTTTGCCAATGTGGAGTCATGTAATTTTTTTTTTTTTGGTTCAAAATTCATAAAAAGTTATATTGGGCTAGTATAGCCAACAGATATAAAATGTATAGCAATTAGTTGATGGCGTCATGTTGACATCACTTCGAATTTGGCATATTTTTTTTTCATTCATTCATTCATTCATTCTTTATTTTCCACATACACTTGTAACTTAAGTTGTATAATAAATATAAATAGATACGATAAATGTGGATGGAGTCCCTAAAAAGCATATGCTTGTCAGGTAGGGAACTCCAGTGTATGTATTACTATACACATGTTTATGTTTTATATATGTAACCTAAATTAACACATACAACACTTACACAAAATACACAACACAATGAAGAACACTTAAGCAAATCCCCCCCCCCCCCCCCCGATAGGTCTTGTAACCCTGTGAGAAATATTAACAATTGGAAAAAAAAAAAAAAAAAAAGCTAGATGGGATTCAAATAACCAGTGAGTAATTTGGCCTTATATCTACGTTTAAATAATGGAAGATTCCAAGTATTTCTTAAAGAAATTCAAGGGAATTCCACAGCTTGGGACCCTCATGCTTAACTGTGTTTTGGGTGAGAGAAGTACGAGCAAAAGATTGATGGAATTTCTTAGACTGTCTGGTAAAATGCTGATGCGCATCTTCATTTTTTACAAACATAGAGCAAATGGATTTAGGTAATTTGTTGTAATTAAGTTTTTGCATGAAGATCCCAAGTTGTAGGAGATAAATATCATTTACTTTAAGAGTTTTATGCATATGGAAAAGAGGATTACTGTGTTCCAAGTAAGGATGATGTCACATGCCCTACTATGACATCATCTTGATTACACTTGTCAATGCACATTTTTGCATTGTGGTCTTGGTTTGTACTAAGGTTGAAGTCAATCCAATGAAAGGAAGTGTTAAATTTTGGAAACGCAATGAAATTGTAAATATGAAAAAAATCAACCGATGACGTCATGGTGACGTCTTTTCGGAATTTGCATACTGGTACCATTATCTAGCAATCCACCAAGTTTCATGAAGATCGGACCTTCCCTTATGTGTTTTCAAAAATCGCATTTTTGATGACGTCATGATGACGTCACACATTTTTCAAAATTTTGTGCGTATATACCTATTACCTAACAAACATAATACAAAAAGAGTTTTAAATTTTGCATGTTGCGTTCTTGAGATATGGGTTAAAGGTCCAAAATTTCAAAAATTCATATAAAATCACACAATGACGTCATGATGACGTCACCTAAATTTTTACCTTTAACACATAGGTCTTTACAATATGCACGTTTAGGATGACGTCACGTGACCCATGATGACGTCATCATGACGTCACCTAAATTTTCATCTATAACAAATCCCGGTCTACCTACATACCAAGTTTCAACCCAATCGGACTGACATTTCTGTAGATATGTATGCACATGAATGATGACGTCACGTGACCCACGATGACGTCATCATGACGTCAATCTTTGGGACACATCTTTGCTATAGGGACTATGCCTATGCTGACTTTGAATAATGTATGACAAATATTAATGCCAAAAGTGGAGGCCGGAAAAGAGGTGCACAAAGTCAATGGACTTTAAAATGGAAGAAGAAGAGGAGGAGGAGGAGAACAGCACAAAAACAAAGGCTTTTCCCGCACTTTGCGGAAAAGGCCCCCCCCCCCCCAAAAAAAAACAAGAGCTGTTTCGGTGTGTACACAGCTAAAAAAATCTTAACGAAAACAAGAGCTGTTTCGGTGTGCACACCGAAACAGCTAAAAAAATGAGAACAAAAACAAAGGCTTTTCTGCACTCTGTGGAAAAGCCAAAAAAACTTTAACGAAAACAAAGGCTGTTTCGGCCGGTTGCCGAAACAGCCAGTGATAATAACACAATATTTATACCCCGCACTTTCTCTGGAATCCATTCAAAAGCGCCGGTCTATAGTGAATAAAAAAATATATATGTGAAGTAAAAAAAACCTCAATAATTGGGAAAAGCCAGCATAAAGAGATGTGTTTTGAGTTTCTGCGTGAAACATGTGATTTTTTTGTGTCTCCGATTTCAAGTGACAAACGGTTCCATAGCTAAGGTGCAACATTTGAAAAGGCTCTGTCACCATAACTGGCAAGACGAGTTTGGGGAATTAAAAGGATGCCAGATGACCTCAATCCCAGTCTGACAGTACAAAGCTGTAGTAGGTTTGTACGTAGGATGGGGCAGAACCATCAAGTGCTTTGAATGTGAGGAGAATGATCTTGTATTGTATTCTGTGTTTAATTGGCAGCCTGTGAAGTAGGATAAGGATATCTGGGAACATGTTGAAAAGAGTTAGCACACATGATGTGCTGATTGTATTACCTGTTCTGATTGCTTATATTTTGTTTTATTTTTAGGGTCTTCTGGAAGCAATGAAATATTCTGATAATCCTGAAATATGCAGTATCATTCAAGAAGCAACACATCGTCGTCAAAGGAATTTAGTTAATCCATCATTGTTTGAATGTGCAATGAATGGTGATGCTGACCGTCTGTATAGTACATTGGAGGAGGGTGACCAAGTCAACCCATTGACTGGAACAGGAGACTGGCCAATGTACATGGCTGTTGGAAATAGATACATCAAAGTTATGCAACTGCTACTTGCGGTAAGTTGCCAAACAGGATAAGGGAGTCAGGAGCAACCTAATAGTATAGGCTGTTATGTAATGTGCATTTTTTTTGGCTAAAGAAGGAATTTTGTTATATTTGGATAGAGTTTACCTTCCTAAGCCAGAAATCCATTGGTAACATTTTTTTCCATCTACTGTGTGGCGGCCATTTCAGACTAATTAACTTGTATCATAACTTCAGACCTGATTGTCATATGAAGTTCATTTTGGTGGCAAACCCCATGTTTTTGATGCCAAGGAACCCGAGTACATAATTGTTTATGGTGTACTCCAAATGGATGGCAGCCATCTTGGATATTTCAAAATGGCCGCCATTTTCGACTTATTTGCATAATAAATTTGGACTCGAATGTTGTGCGAAGTCCATTTCGGTGGCAAACCCCATAAATTTGATACCAAGTAATCTAAATAACACATTGCTGATGATGTATCCCCGATAGATGGCAGCCATCTTGGATTTTTCAAAATAGCCGCCATCTTGGATTCATTTACATATAATAACAGTGCACCTGAATGTCGTATGAAGTCCATTTTGGTGGCAAATCCCATGTTTTTCAATGAACTCAAGTGAATCACTTTGGACAGGGTACTCACCACAATGGATGGCAGCCATCTTGGATATTTCAAAATGGCCGCCATTTTGAACTAATTTGCATATTATATTTGGACTTGAATGTCGTTTGAAGTCAATTCGTCGTGTGCCCGGCAGAAGGGCATATGTGCATATGCCCTTATGCAATGTAGCGTAATGACCAAAATGTTCAAGCAAAAGATGGAACCAAAAGGGGCTCCACTTCCTTTTAAAAAAGGAACTTGTTAAAAAAAAAGGGCACTTCTTTACAATTTTTTTTGGGGGGGGATGGTAAGCGGTGGTCAAAAAAGGGCATTTGAATGGGAAAGGGCAGTCTTTGCAAAATATTGGGGGGTAAATACCCCCCATAACACCCCCCCCCCCCTTTGCTGGCTTCGCCTATGCAAAGAAGGAACATATTTCAGCAGTTAAACAGTAGTTGTAGATCAACGTTTTATTTGAAGCATTAATTATGGTGTAAATAGAGAACACACGCATGCAACATCATTGATGAATTGAGAGCAGGAACCAAATCGAGGACTCCTCAGTTCAACATATACAAAACCAATGAGAGCTTTTGCAAAAAAAAGTTAAAGATTATAAACAAAGGAAAAGGGAAGAGGAAGAAATACAAAATTCTTGATTTACACCATAAACAAACGTGCTAGTACAGGTGTAAAATTATAAGTTTTTTCACACATCATTTATTAATGACTATATGAACTAGAGGTTCGCGTTTGTTGTTACAAATGCAGAGTGGTCGGGTAGCCAACTATTTCACTAGACATTGTCCAGTTAAGTTATGAATATGTTCATGGGATGACGTCAAAATTATGTTTTTGCAATCGGCATTCCTCACTTAACACTTCCATAATGTATTTGTCTGTAGTAAAATGCTTCCGTTTTAGAGTTAGATTCAATTTCAATTGCACTGCCGGTAACACCGGAAGTAAAGGTCAAGCAATTTTGTGCCTGGGCATAAGAAATGTTGCTCAAGGCACCGTCTACAACCTCACGAAAAAATGAACACGATACTCTATTTAGTTCAACAGATATAGGTCAAAGTATTTTGTCAAATCGTGCCATCAAATCACTCATAATTTGATACCTGATGATTTATGATGACGTAACATTATGTATAACATCTTCGTTACATGGTACAAGTTCACACTAGGTTTTATGATCATACCATAAACCGTTCTGAAGAAATTGTGCTTTGTTTTGATTTCAGGCTAATGTCTTCATTTTGATTTCACCTAACTTAAACTTCCGGTAGAACGGAAAGTAAAGGTCAAGCGAGTTCACGTACCAGACAAAAAATGTTTATAAATTAATGGTCTATCTGATAACAAGGTTGGAACATAATTGATCATTTTGTGCAAGAGTTATATGTGTAAGAAGATCGTCATTTTTTAGTGAAAATCGCTTGTAATTTGACACCCGATGACGTCATAATTACGTCAGAGTAATATGCAACCACTTAGGACGAGTGTCGATATATATTGAAAGTTACAAGTTCCTATCATAAACAGTTTAGGAGAAAACCTGCGGAAACTTGCTGTACGGAAAAGAAAGAAAGAAAGAACGAAAGATTAATCGTAACAACTACAAAGAGGGGTCGGGTTGTACCCGACCACTCAATGAAAGGTTTGCGAAAACACCATGTGGGAATAATTTCTCAAACTGAGAATGATTCTGAAAAGAACAACACGTAGTACATTGAGTAAGTATTTTTGTGATGCTGTGTTATGTATTACTAATATTTACAGAATGGGGGAGATTTTTGGAGTCAACACCAGACAACTGGATCTACTGTGCTACATATCGCATGTTCCAGGGGCTTATATGACATAGTGTCATATCTTCTGTGGTTTTCTGCAACAACTAGAAAAGGTTGTTCACCCATCGAAACTGGTGATGGGTATCACTGTGAAAATGAACAGTTAAACATAGATGCAGTGAACCACCTTGGTTTTACAGCCCTACAAGTTGCATCTACAAAAGGTATGGGAATACATCGTAAGAACATTTCATTACAGCCGGGTTTCACAATTTTGATTTGTTTTTTTTTTTTGGGGGGGGGGAGATTTGTTGGCTTTTCCGCATAGTTGCAGAGAAGCCTTTGTTTTTGTTAGGATTTTTTCCCCCTTTTAGTTCTAGCCCAAATCCCATAGACTTTGTACATGTATTATTCCGGCCGCAACTTTTGACACAAAACTAAATCATATAGACCATTATCATGTTGCAGCGATCTTGATTTTTCCCATTCAAATCAACGTAACCTAAGCAAGGCTCATCAAGTCGTCATGTGACATTTTACTGGCTTTTTGAGTTTTTGAACCCTTAAGCCATATCTCATCAACAGTACATGCTAAATTCAAAATTCTTTTTGTAATAGGTTTGTTATTTATTTTATTTTATTTTTATTTTATTACCTTCATTGCACAAATACATTAGAAATGACATGTGGTGCAAAAGGGAAACCCCGAACAGGCACACAGGCCCATTAAATGGGGACCCTTGTTCACACATCAAAACCGAAAAACAGGGGACAAGCACGATGGCGCTGTATTAGCTGCTGCCACGGGAGATATGTTGCTCCCACTTTATCTCCGGTTTTAAACCGGAATCTGTCTTGTTGCCTCGTTGATTCTGTTGGAACGTCTTGTTGAATATGTTGTCTTACGTCATGAAGCAAATCAGAGCATCGATTTGTCTCCGGGAGCTGGCCGGTGGAGCGGGAATTTTGAACATGAAATTCCCAACGTGAGTACACCTACCGGTTGCCATAATGGTCTTGAAGACGGTATCGGTACAACGATCTTCAACAATACCGCCACGGTGTCATGCTGTTCAATGCTACACCAAACGACAGCTACTGTCCTTACGTGAGTGTAAAGTGCCTCTATCTGCTGAGACCTATGACACCCTGAAGCAATTAGGTATTGCTCGTCATGCAAGAGGCCGACGAGCAGGAACGCATATGTTCAAAAAGATCCGGACTTGTTGTTCCCCTAGATCTCAAAATCCACGTAAGAGCTATCTCCATACCAGTATCCCGTCTAACCTGCTACCAATATCCCTGGCCAAGCCACTTTCAAGTCTGACCATACACATCTGGAATGCGAATTCCATACGCAATAAAACCACCACCCTATTGGACCATATTCTATTGTATGATGTTGACATGATGTTGTTGACGGAGACCTGGCTTTCTGATGATGATATAGTGATAATTGGTGAATGTACCCCTCCTGGCTACATGTTCATCAATTTTCCTCGTAGGGGGGCAACCCATGGTGGTGGGATTGGCATAGTGCACAAGAAATCGCTGACACTGTGTTCTACCCCGTCTGGGTTCTCCTCAGTTAACTTTGAACACTGCACTGTTATGCTCAATAACTGTATCCGACTTATCGGAATATATCGTCCGCCTCCATCACGTGCTAATGGACTGAAAACCTCCGAATTTTTGGAAGAGTTTGAGAGATTTCTGGATGAGACGTCCGTTACTCCTCATAAAACTGCATTATTGGGTGATTTCAATGTGCATATTGACTCACCTGATAAATGGGACACCAAAACATTCACTGAGATTATTTCAAATGCAGGCTTCAGCCAACACGTCAAGGGCCCAACTCACAGACATGGTCATACCTTAGACTTGGTCATTTCCCGCGATGATGATGATCTAATCCATGAAGTTCATGTCGACCCTCGGCACCACTCTGATCATCATGTCGTCACATGTACCATGAAGTGTGGCAAACCTCCACCACTGAGGGTCTCAACAACATCCCGCCAGTACGGCAAGCTGGACCATGAGCGCTTGACAGAGCTACTCCATGATCGGTTTACCGATTTCCCAGACAGCAACAACGATCCCAACAGTCTTGCAGAGTCTTATGCGAAGATAACTTCTATGGTCCTCGACGAAGTTTGTCCCTTGGTCACCAGGGAACGAATTATCAAGCCAAGACTTCCATGGTACAACGACCTCATCCATACTGAAAGGCGTATTCGGCGTCGCCTTGAGCGGAAATGGAAAAAGACCAACTCTGCTGAGGATGAACATGCCCTCCGGGCTCAAAAAGACCACGTAAATAGACTGATCACTGATTCAAAGATGCAGTATTATTCTGACAAATGCACCGATTGTAATGTTAAAGATATGTACGCTACCATCAATGCTCTCCTTAACAAGACTGCTCAAACTCTACCCGATTGTGATTCCAATAAAAAGCTCGCTGACAACTTTTTGTTGTTTTTCAAGGAAAAGGTTGAGAACATACGGTCCAATGTATTCGCCGGTTTATTACACAGGATGCCTGCCATCACGCCGTCAGAAGTCTGGTCCTGTCCCGTCTTGATTATGCGAACTCTCTTTTGCTAGGTGCTCGTGAGAAAGATCTTAACGGTTACAGCGCCTACAAAACAAGGCTGCTCGGCTGGTCTTCGCATGCGGCCAGGACCAGCCATCTGAGGGCCTGCTGGCAGAGCTACATTGGCTCCCTGTTCAACAGAGGATAGCCTTCAAAATCTTCACCCTTGTATACAAAATTCTCAACACTCAAGCTCCATCATATCTGGTTGACCTATTACATTCACATCACTCAAATATTCCTGACTCTTACAGACAGCAACTCCGCTCATCATCCGATCAGACCCGGCTTTCTGTCCCTAGAAGTAGGAAGAAGGCCGGAGATAGCTCTTTCGTTGTGGCCGCCCCTCGCGTGTGGAATGAGCTTCCTTCTTGTCTGAGAGAGGCGGTCTTGTTGCCTGTATTCAAACGTCTCCTGAAGACACATCTGTTCCAAGTCCATTCGTAATCGTATTGTGTCTGTTTTTCTTTCCTGTTATTTTTTGTTGTGGATGAGTGTTAAGCGCTTTGTTCTTTGTAAAGCGCTATATAAATACTTTGTATTATTATGTATTATTATTAAGCACAACAACAAGCAAACAACCGAAGAAAACAAAGAAATACTGTTCAAAGAAAAAAATCACAAAAAGAAGAAGGAAAAACTACAATAAAAACGGCCACAAATTATTGCACTAGCATAATAAAAAATATACGGGTGATATATGTGATATATATTTGGACAAAAAATGTGACAAGTGTATGAAGTCATGATGACTTAATAAAAAGTGACTTTTTTAATAAATGATTAAACTTGTATATTTGTTGGATACTAGCAAAATTTTACATCAAATGCACTTTGTACACAAAATTATCATTTTCATGACCGCATATCACCGAAAAGAGAAGCATAAACTCAATTCAAAATCAGAATGCGGAAAAGCCATATGTTCTGTTCTCAACCAGCCATAGACCTCTAATTTTAGTTCAAATCAGTGGTGGTACTACGGGGGATGGGGGCATTCCCCCCCCCCCCCCTTCATTTGGGGGATAATAGGGGTCGTCTTTTTGGGTGAGAATTTCTCAAAAGTCAATGGTCAACCTATCAAAAATTGAAAAGAAGCCGAAATATAGAATGTTAATCATCATTTTTCTGTGCAGCTGAAATACTTGTGAGAGTTCTGATTATTTTTTAATAGAATTTTGAAATATGGGCATTTAGCACTGGTGTCTATGGGAATATTTATACAGGGGTGCATCCTTTGGTACATTTCTCATTTGTAAAAACGACTAAGTAAGTTGCTCTAGTGGCATATTTCTGGACCATTGACTGCCCCCCCCCCCCAAAAAATTTCCTTGCCCTACAATTCCCCCCCCCCCCCAAAAAAAAGAATGTTAGAGCATAGGCGTAGGGCATTTATCCCCCAAAGTGTTGTAAATACTGCCCATTTCCATTCAAATGCCCTTTTTTTCACCAGTGCCCCCCCCCCAATATTTGTAAAGAGTGCCCTTCTTTTGTTAAGAAGTGCCCTTTTTTCTGAATAAGTGCCCTATTTAAGAAAAGTCATGCCCTTTTTGGTGACATTGACAGTTACCTTGTTGTTCAAATTTGAGCATGTATCGCCCTTAAAAGCACTATATTGATCTTGTACATGTTGCCCTGTGGAGACGTGCATAATATGGAACAAAAGATTGTATACGTCTCCACAGGGCTATTTCTATAGGTGAATACGTCTCCACAAGGCTATCACAAAATAGATATTACTCAAAATATTTACTCAAAAACTAGGAATTTCCACGGAGTGTTGATCTGTCGGAAAGTGAAGTATTTTATGGAAGGGATATTAAGTCCGAATTCCAGCCCAGGAAAATATTTCTGGTTAAAATAGGAGCATTTTGAAACTAAACTTTCAAACTCTCAGTATGTGTGTTCCTTTGTGTGTATGATGGTCGGTTTGAAACAGTGCTTCCATCGTCAGATTATACCAGGCCCCCCCCCCCCCCTTGATTTTAAGGTGGCCAGAAAAAAAAACATGTCTACATTTGAGCACGGATGTGCAAGTGCCCTTTCAAGAAGTTTTTACCCCCCCCCCCAATAAAAATGACCTTGCTATGCCACTGTAGAGTCTGGCACCGCCACTGGTTCTGATGCATGTTGTAAGGCCAATGCCTCAGCCACGGCACAGTCAGTGTGACACTCAGTATCTTATGACCCAAATACATTCTGTTTTGGGATAATGTTGCCATCATTGTCAATTTGACTCCACGACATGTTGATACAGTATCCCACATACGAATGAATGCTGCCCATCAGTACAATCTCTTTTATAAACAGCAATGATTGCATTTCAAAGTTACATGACAACAAATCCATTGTCTTTCTAGTAAATAAAGTCACTCCATTCGTTCAAAATAGTGGACCAGTGGAAACAATGGCATGACATCGCAGGAGGAGGTTAAGCTGCATAATACCCTCAGTGTGCACCATTCCTGCATAACAATAGCCCAAATGTGAAGCTTGAGGGTGATCCTGATTCCTTGCACATGAATTGTGCATACCTCAGGCACAATCCTTTACTGACAGGGTGACCATAAGGTCATGACTAAATTCTGCTAAATGCACTTCAAAAAACTGTCAGATTTATCA